TTTGACTACCCACTCAACCAAGACTTCACAGTACTTGGAGTCTCCTGGTGAAAAGAAACTCATCATCAGACCGGATTGTTGTGTGATTGTGTAACAGTATTATCCATACAGTTCGAGTGAGTGGAAAACATCAAATCATGGTATGCTGGCTTCAAACGATCAATCAAAACCTAATCCAAGGAGCACTTACATTATCATGAGCGGTTCAAGTTCAACACTGAGATGATGCCCCATACACTGATCATGTGTCTCAAGACTTGGGGAGCAGATATTCAAGAGCCAATGGGAATGCTAATCGATTCATATCATGTAAATTAGACTGAAGCCTAGAACAGTTGGATCTCACAGTTTGATTAATGTACTAAATAGCTTCTCGATAGAAATTAACATCCATACATGAGGTAACCAGTCATTCAGGCCTATGCATGTAGCACCAGTCATTCTTCGGTCTGTCAGACTTCGATTCCAACAGGCCTACTAAAATAATCAAAGTGTAAAGATACACATTTCAATTTCTGTACCCTACTTCAGGCAGCTACTACCCTTTTACTAGAGTGACGTTTATCAACAAGAAATCTCATCTATTCCTTGTATTCTAAGCTCTAAACTGGACAGGGAAACGCAGTGACTGTCACCTTCACATGTCCACCAATATAAATCGCCTATGTGAACCTAGAAAATGCTCGGTACACAATGTCAACAAACCAAGCTGAAGGCCTGGGGAAAAGTATCAGGTTGCTATTTTAAGAGGGGTCTTCTACAACGTCAAATCTCCGCGGCACAATCAATATTTATGGGTTCATTACCATCATCTACCGATATGGCCCGAAACGAGAGAAGCGAACTATTACTCATATTAGACAATTACTCAACATTATTAGTTGATGTTTTCAAAAACCTAGGGTCCTTTGATGAGAAGAAGATCATGGACCTGATCTTTATGTGATAGTGTAGTGGCTTTATTCACTTAAAGAAAAGAAAAAGGGGTACTGGCTTCAAGCTATCCGTCAAGAACTAAGCTAAAGCATCTTGAATTAACTTATCAGATCCCAGATCCTTTCGGAATGTATCGAAAAAACGACGCGCCATGTGATACGTTATAGGTAAGTGTTTATTGTTCGGTAACACAGCATTATTAGAAAACATAGTAGTCAGTCGACGCTTCGGTTACCACGGGTAACCTTTCTCAAGACCAGTTTGCAATCGAGAAAGGTTACCCGCGGTAACCGAAAATTCGACTGACTACCATCGTTTCCGATAACGCTGTATTACTGAACAATAAACATTTACCTGTTAAACATCTGGGTTGGCGGAACAGACACTCAATACATTACGACGTGTTCTGGCCTCACTTTGTGAAATGTACCATTTGCCGTGTACAACCATGTGGTCACACACACGTACACAGTTGACGTTTGGGGAGTTTCGTCCGATCAGACTGCATCACGTGTTGCACGACCTTGCGCAGCTTGATCCTGTTGTACAATGTTTTACGCTTCCGATTTCATACGTCACTGAATTACGCACCTGCACACGTGTTTGCTCTTCACTTGCGTGCTTGTACTGGCGTTTACAGTACGTTGCTACAGAATACACGTTCACCCGTACAAGTGCGCCTCCATTCTATTAACCGAATTTGGAACACAACACTATTGAAAACATAGCTTTCCCGACACAAATTTGAACATAGAAGTCAATAGCATTAAATTGCACGATGTATTCCGGACCATTTCGCTGCATCTTCACTAGTGCATACTGCAGTCAAGGTGATCATTTATAAATGGTAAATTGAACGTTCTCATGAGATCAAAGGCAAAAGTGCACACACACACACAACTAATGATAGCAAATGAAAACGCGTTACCAAGACAAGGCTAACGTAATTATCCATTCTCGCTGTTTGCACAGTTGAGGATGACGTTGGTTAATTGCTAATGCCTCCGCGTATCTCAGTAATCGTTGATTGTTTGTGACATAAGTGACCGTGAACGCCGTGCTCAGATTAACACAGTGATTTGTCTCCCACAGGTGTTTCGTAATGGATGACCTGAGTGTTCTGCGTGCGTTCGATGACGTCACTGATTGTGTCTGTCCGCTCATTGTTCTTTGTAACCAAACCGGAATATGTTCAACCATTCTATTACGCAATTGTCTCTCCGTTCTGCCGATGTAGGTGGCTGAGCACACACACTTAAACTGGTAAATGCAATTTGACTTGGCGGGAAGAGGCAGCGGTTCTTTTATCGATGGTAGTTTCATCCGGGAAGTTGTATAAAGAATGATGATGTTAGCGGCATAATACGTACGATTAACAGCACAGCTGAGGCGTCTGCTGATTAGGGTATTAATGTCATCACCTTTGTAAGGTAACTGTAGGTAGGCTGTCAGTTTTGGGACTGTGGTAACTTTCGTTTTGCGCGGTGGTGTCTGTGAGTGCTTGGATACAAATGATTTTGGATATCCGTTGGCCTCGAAAGTTTTGAACAAGGTACGGTACTCTTCTTCCAGCGTGTCAGTTGTACATATTTCGTGTGCTCTGTGGAACATGGTGTGGACGAGGCTGATTTTGTACTTCACGGGGGCAAAACTGGTGAAGTGTAGATACTGTCCTGACCACGTAGTTTTGCGATGGACTGATCTTCGGATTGATCCATCGATTCGGCGGGTAATTTCAATATCTAGGAATACGATTTTGTTGTTGTCTTCCCCGTTTTTTGTCAGTTGAATGTTTGGGTGTATGTTGTTGAAGTGGTAGAACATTTTTTTGCACTCGTCCTTCGTGTTAGCAATGACAAATATATCGTCCACGTAGCGTCGATAAAGAGTGGCCTGAGCTATGATTGATTTCATTTTTTGTTCGAGGTGCGAAACAAATATATCTGCCAGAACGGGTCCTAGAGGACTACCCATGACAACTCCATCAATCTGCCGGTACCCCCGTCCAAGGAAATGGAATTTTACATTCGAGGTGCACAGTAGTAATAGCCGTGACAGCTCACTGTTTGGTAATCCGATTGTCAAGTTGTTATCATCAATAATTTGACAGATGATATCAACGGTCTCGTGAAGTGGGATATTTGTAAAGAGTGAATTAACATCCATTGTGAATAAGTACTTATTGTGGATGTTCACTTCGCTCAATAGCCCACACATTTCAAAACTATCTTTCACGTTGTTCTTCCCGACCAATTCCCTTACCGGTTTTAGTAGTTCCGCGAGCCATTTTGCTAGTTTGTGTTGCGGAGAGTTGGTCATAGACAATATTGGTCGTAGTGGTATGTCTTCTTTGTGTACTTTTGGCAAGCCGTACATTTGTGGTGTTTGGCTTCCCCTGCACCTTAGACTCTTGGCCGTGGATTCCGGGATCAAGTTGGCTTTTACAAGGTTGTCCAACTCTGTCCTTATTTTCTTTTCTAGTTCGCTGGTGTCGTCAGTCTTTGAGTCCGGTATGAATTTCGTTTCGTCTCCTAGTAAGGACTCCATTTTATCTCTGTAGTCTGATTTGTTCAGAACAACTACTCCTGAGCCTTTGTCTGGTCGAAGAATCATCAAGTCAGGGTTCCCCCTCAGTTGGTTGATAGCTTTGTAGTGGTCCTTTGTCAAAAGACAATTCTCTTTCGTGATGCTTGTTCGGTACATGTGCTCCAAGTCCACCAGTTTTTCTTTGAACCATCCCATGGCGTCCTCGTTCGTTGGATGTAAGCCGGACAGCTGCTCGTAGAACAATTCAAATCTAGCCTGTGAGTCGATGCGGTTAATATGCTTTGGAGGAACACAATAGTTGAGACCACAGGACAACGCCTCCAGTTGAAGTCGATTCAGTTGGTAAGATGACAGATTTTTAACGTATTTCTCCGGATCTTCGGGAAATGACGATACCATCAGATCATGAAATAACGAATTCTCCAGTCGCTTCGTTTCGTATGCGCGTGTTTCACGGATCTTATCAGCACAGAAGTTCATGAACTTAATCCGACAGACCAGGCTGAGTTGATCGATAACCGGTGACGCTTTCAAAAACACAGCTGAAAGTTGTTTGATGTTGAGATTAGATTCTTCAATATGACACTTTGCTAACCGTTTAAGACCTTTCGCAGATGGACGAATTTTGTCAGCGCGCAGACGTTTACAATATGTCACAGGGTACGAGTTCGTCGATATACATCGGTAAACAAACATCAGTCGTGTACGTTGTATTGCGATTTTGCACTTCAGTCTCACGATACTGCTCAACTTCTTTATCACCATGGGAGAAAGTCGACGTTTGAGGAATTGAAAACATAGCTTTCCCGACACAAATTTGAACATAGAAGTCAATAGCATTAAATTGCACGATGTATTCCGGACCATTTCGCTGCATCTTCACTAGTGCATACTGCAGTCAAGGTCACCTTGACTGCAGTATGCACTAGTGAAGATGCAGCGAAATGGTCCGGAATACATCGTGCAATTTAATGCTATTGACAACACTATTGACAAATTTTATCGTGGTCCTGTGATAAACCCCAAAAGCTCTTCTGCAACAGAGAATAGTATACCGATGAGTCCCTGACTGTGTTGTGTATCTCTTCAATAGTGAATACGTGTTTGGTAGTGAGATGGTTGAATTTCATTGCATAATTCTTTTCTTTTCGTTTGTTCGTGGAGAGGAATGAAATTCGAAAGTGTACCGAATGCACCATAAAGAATACGATATCGATCACAACTAATTCGTTGATGCATGATAAGATTGAGTCGCTTTTAGAGCGCCCGTTGTTTCCTTAGATAGTGAGTTTCATTTTCAACACTAACGTGAAACTATCTTTTATTCGTGATCTGCAATGAATTGTGGATTTTGCTCACAGATTGGTCTTGCAGTTGGAGATATTGGTCAGATTCAACGATCTGCTACACTTCAAGTGGTCGCACAACAAGTCTACTGGTTGGATCAAGTGGAATCAAGGTTGTCGAAGTGGCTGCATAAGAAAGCACAAGTGAAACACTGGGTTATTCGACCACCTCTGGCATTCAACAGACGAGTAAGTGAAACCATGGAAATAAATCTCCCTGAACCAATTTATTTCGGTCAGGAACAACAATTGGTAGTCGAAACCGGTTGTTGGAGTCTCAGTCAGATTATTGATTATGGGATGTTCGTTTTTGATATTCTGTTACCATTCTTATTCATATTAGCTGATTGCAAACCTTCGAAATCTTGAAAATAGATTTGTGTCTTCGTCATTTCGGTTGGATACATTGTAGTCGAAAAAATACTATATTCCGATTTGTTTGTTTGTTCACATAATGGTTTGAAGTAAATATGTGACTTAATCATTAATTTGCAAGTTTGAAATGGACGTGTTTAGGAATTGGTGTTTTCGGGATGAAGTTCTATCAGCAAATACATTACATGAGTCCTGAAGTCCCTTGCGTCACTTCACTCCAAAGAATGTTTGATGGATGCAACTGACTGCTTTTCTTTTCATCTATCGTTTTACAGAAACCTCACACAGTGGAATTGAAATTTGCGCTTACCAAGCTAAACAAGGAGTGAGTGAAAACATGTATTCGATCGAATTCGATTGTAAACTCGGTTTTTAACAAAGCATTCGAAGCGAATTATGATCACCGAAAGCCCACCATCAGTGGCTGATTCAGCATTACCGTACACTAATGGAAGAACACCACCCCTCTCCACTCATCTCACCTATTGTGACAATGTCCCTACACCAACCAGCCACCAGTTAATCAAGTGCGCTATTGTCCCCATAAGATGTATGAGCACAAGATTGGGGATCAGTGAGACAAAATTTAGCCCTCTATTTATGCCGTTTTAATACGACCATGGAACTATTCAAAATATATATAACATACAGTACCCAATATTTCACATTTTGTGCACTCAGAGTGGAACTCGGTTTCGAAAGTATAAGAAATGCTAATAAACCCACTCGGTGTTTCTATTTTTCTGTGATTTATTCTAAATTGAACCATTTAGAAGGACCAAAACTGATGTGATTATTTGTCAACTTACTACTATATCACAATGCACACGGATTTGATGTGTGGAACAGATAAATGAATTTATTCTCTTAAAGGAATTTGAGAGGGTGCGAAATGCAAATAATCTCACGCCTAGACAAATGGCTAAAACTATAAACTGGTCGGGAAAAGCAGTGATCTCTGTTAATAAATATTGAAATACAATATCTAAGCATGCTTGCCTTTATATTCGGGATGTTCTGAAGTCATTTGCTGTCTCATTCATCGAGAATGACCGACTCCAACTTGCGCAAAGTGGTGAAGACTCTTCCTTTCGCATAGGATCACCTAGCTAATACACACCATGCATTTTCAATCAGGTTCAAGTCTGGACTGTGGGCAGGCCAGTCCACGGCCATGATACTCCGGTACAATGGCCACATTCTGATGGGGTTGGCCGTAAGTACGGATGTACTTCATCTTGAAAGGTAATGGGCCTCAGTCGATTAACGGAATCATTGGGAGGAGAAATGCATTCGATATTCTCATTTATGCTTCAGATATCTGCTTATATTCTAGAACTGCTAGATGAGAATTTCCTTCTTCGAAACTGCACTCCGAGACCATCACGGAGCCATCCCCAAAGACAAGATTACTGAGTTCCAGCTTGCTTTCCCTGAAATTGTACCAGTAGTACATGATTCCATGAGGACCACCCAAATTAAACATTTTATCGCCGCTCAATATCCCACTATCCCATTCAGCATCACAAGTAATGGGATATATGGCCCGTTCCTCTTGATCTTGGAAATGAAATACAGTCATCTAAGGCATCCACTTCACCTTTCAGTGCTACAAATGTGGTGCAGGCTGTAGAAGTTTCTTTGGATGCCGAACACACACATTCGGTTCTAAAAACCTCTGTAGCTTTGACTCACTCGTGAGATGGTTCAAAGCACCGCGCAAGAGTCCCTTCACGACTGATCTGGATAATTGTCTTCGAATTCCACGTTTCCCCTTAGCCAAATAAGGAATTGAATTCTTCAAAATTTGCGAATTATTGTCGATTTGGGCATTTTCTTGGGATTTTTGCTATCTTTAGCCCCATGTATTTGTATTCCACTAATTCTCCTTGTTCTAGATCAGATAGCTTTGGACTTCTCGCCATCTCTTGGTTTTGACAAGTGAGAGGTCTCTACTTCTAATTCGAAAGCACTATTCTATTGAAATTCGTTCGCGAATCACCAAAGACATGGATACTGCTGAGTCAAACATCACTGAGAATTGAAAATGAGCCATTACGGACTAAGGTTGGTGCGCTTGTAAGCCAGTTCGAAGTTTGTATCGTATTTTCAGTGGCAGGTTTGATAACATTTCGCACCCTCTCAAATTCCTTTAAGAGAATAAATTCATTTATCTGTTCCACACATCAAATCCGTGCGCATTGTGATACAGTAGTGAGTTGACAAATAGTCACATCAGTTTTGGTCCTTCTAAATGGTTCAGTTTAGAATAAATCACAGAAAAATAGAAACACAGAGTGGGTTCAATGGCATTTCGTGCACCATATAACCCTTGGTCATTGTCTGTGAAATATCTAGAGCGACCCTACAGAATTTGATGTCTTTCATTTGCACAAACCATGATACCTCCAGTACCACTGCAAGTGGAAGCAAGTGGGACTGTTTGAAATAACTTCCAATAATTGATTTCCGCATGTCATTTTCACCTTCATCCTTTGATTGTGGATACGCACGGGATTTCCTGTTTGCAAAGTCCAGTCAATGTGAATGGAAGGTTATCTCATCAATTATCGATGCGAATAAATTCACCATAAAATCTTCGTCGGAGAAACTCTAATGCTCTGTCACGATGCCTAACTGAGTAGTTGTTGAACATATATGAGTTCTCATTGACTTTGCTCGATAGGAATTGATGAAATTTCCACGAACAAGAAGGCACTTATCAAAAGATGGTTGAATGAAACTGCAATAACTTTATGAATTACCACTCCCCTATACATGCTTCTCCACAAGCTCTTCAAGTTTCTTTCATTGTAATTCTTGCTTCCCACATAATTTTACTTTTGGAAGCACTATTCTGCGTTTTTGTTATAAATTCAGAGATGATTCAACTATTATAGGAAAATGTGCTTCCGTCATGGTTCTTCTGTTTGTGCTGGAATTTTTCCAGTTATATGGGTTGCGAATGGTTGGTTGTTCGTTGTTGTTGTTCCTCAAATTGCCCCGGCCTCTCTCCCTATCAGTCTTGAGCGAATCAAACGTCGAATGGCGTACATGGAAAGTGTCCTGGATCAGACGGTTGAACAGACTGGGATGGGATCGTATAAAACACAACAGGATGTTGGAATTTACAGTGACGTGAGTGGTATTAGCGATTATTCCATAGAACCGAATTTCAACTTTGTACGTCCGTGAATATTTCATCCAGATAAACTACGGATTTCTATGTGAAATCAATGTACGACCTAATTTTTTGCGCTAAAATTCTTCAAACGATAGAGTGAAACCTTCGAAACAGTAAAATCGTAGGGCATAACATAATCGCATTACGCAGAGTATTTGCATACTTCACGAGTTAGTCGCACTTGGTAGATCGACCCACGCTGTGGCTTAGAAATACACCACTATTTCCGCTGACAGTCAAGGAAATTGAAATATGAAACTCGGTATTGTGATGCTAATCAATAGCCAAACCACAAATCAAAATGCTGTGAAAATCATGAATGAGTGACCAGTGCGAACGCCATTGTTCAAACAGCCGTCTTGTGCATTACACCCCAGAAACACATACTGCTCTCCGATAACAACGCAAAATGACGTCTTATGCACAGTGGTCTGAAATTAGTTTCATATCAGGTCACAAAAGAACCCCATTAACATAATCAGAACAAAGGATGTAAATGAACATCTGCTTTCAATGACTTGGTTCTCAAGCCATCACAATAACATTTACATGGTAATGAAATGTGCAAGGACCTGATCAGAAGAAATAAAAGTGTCTCATTAAACATTTGAGAGATGAATGTGTGATGAGTAGGTGAACAATTTGTTTTTGACCTAGCAACGCTTACTCGGATGACTGGGTTGCGTAGCAGGTGATAACTAATTTACGTCACCACTAAGCTATTGTATAGTGTAATCGATTTCCAGTCAGGATAGTTGGAGTGTGGGAACCAAATTTCGTTGCGTGCATAGTTCCGACCTCAATAGACAAATGCCTAATGCTTCGGCAGTTGCAATTGCCCAAAGCCCGACTGAACTTCACTGTGACTGGCTCCTTGGGTTGAATAGGCCGGCTTCATAAATGTCGCTGATCGCGACTTCCGATGCTTGGAGGTTTGCCGCAATCGTAGCGTAGATAACAGAGCGTGTAGATGACGTGGTCGGGAATTTTCATGGGTGTTTTGGTACAGTAGACCTCTTCGGCATCACTCGGCTTTATTCCGCGGGCACACCTCTGGCATTTGCACAAGCAACTGCGGGCTACAAAGCAGCAGTGCTTTCACGTATGGTTGCCAGTGTCTTCCTAGGAGCAAGTTATCCATCGAATTGAATTGAATCCGACCCAGAGGTTCATGCAGCCCTGTTGGTTTGGTGGATTTTCTCTACAGTCGTTAGTAGACAGTAATTCTTCTCCCACTAAGGCAAACCTGTCTTTGTATGCCGAAAACCGTCCCACCGCGGTTTTTGGACCTCGGCAACTCTCAACCCGTTTTATCCCACCTGCGGAGCAGTTTCGTGGGTCGTTGCCGCAAATGCATTATTTAGCTTTGTGGAGCCAGATGTAACAGTTTGGTACATGATGGAGACGAAAGAGATGTAAGATACCCCAAGGCCACGACAGTTCAACAACTCAGAGATGCTACTCGTATCAGATACCACATGCAATCCTTTGTACCTGTTGCACTCAGATAGATAATACACAGTTCAGTTGTATTTTCCGCATCCAGATGTCCAGTACCGGTAGCCCGAATCGAACCGGTGACACTCAGCTTATCGAGATGGTCTACCAGGTGAGCTATCGCGATACTGTCAGTCGGATGTGATTACCGAAAGTGAATATCCACTGATGCGTTACTACTATTCCAATGATGCACAGCAGTGCCGCACTGGACTTTTGGAAGCGAAAAATTCTGGCGAATTTTCATTATATATAATCCGGGTACCTTGTACCGACACGGATATGTATCACTGTCCATTTGGTGGCATTCAGTCATGTGTTGCTCGTATTATTGGAAAGGTACCAACGGAACTAGTACAGTGATTGAAAGGCCTACAGTTTCTGTCTCACTGGAATAGCGGATGCGCATCCTTGGATATTCACTTGCGTTATTCACACGCAGCTGACCGCATCGTGGCAGCTCAGCTGACAGAGCGTCTACCCGGTAAACGGAGGGTCACCGGTTCGGTTCCCCTTCGCGACGCTGAAATCTTGAGTTGAAAAGTGCAAGTGAATTTTCCATTACTGAAGACCTAGGTGCCTCCTGTCGAAAACACATTCCACGAACATGTTTTTATTTATTTTGCAGCAAATGTTTCTAGAAACAGCCAGGTTTTGTGTAGTCTGAGACAATCAGTTAAGGGAGGATGACCGTGTCACACTACTCTGTATGCAATTAGGATAGAATAAATTTGTATGGATTTCTCATGAAGTGGGTATGTGAGTGGGTACACGTTGCCTACTTAGAATTCCAACGTATGATTACTGAGGCAGTAGTTGGACCCACATCCTGAATACCTAATTGATCTCTTCGCCTTTCGGGTGAACAGATTTAGTATAGTTTCAGTCTCAGTTGTTCATTGTTTCCAAAGAGCCACAGAAATCCTCGCGTGCTCTGTGCTTTGTTAGCCTACGATTAGGTATTGTGTTTCTATGGTGCACATCGTCAACAGCTGTCTGTACGAAGGCCAAAGGCACAACAATTCCCTAACAAACTTCCTTCAAAATCTATATGTGCATTTGTGTTCTAAATAACTCGTACAATATAGGTCCTCATACCAATGTCATTAGCTATCTAGTTTATATTTATGATCCATTCAGGGTATCACACGGATTCGTGTTTCATCAGCATCCACCAAATGCATTGGCTATTCGGCACATCCATGCGTTTGGCTGCATGATTTTATCGAAAAATGTGTAGAATTGTCTACTTTATACTCTGTAGATGTTGCTTTTTTCTTCAATTCTCTTCAGGATCCGATGATCAAGGATTAGAACAAACAGATGGAAGAACAACTGCGAATCCAGTGGAAACCTGTTAACGAGTTCACTGACATTTACAATTGATTCAATTCCCCTCGTTATCATCGTAGCCAACTCTTCTCACCTCGAAAATGAAATGTAGTGTGCTACTCAGGTTTTTTCCACTTTGCGCAAACACTGGAGGTAACTGAAAAACATGCGGATTTGAGGCTGCGATTTGGGAGGGCAACTTTCTCTACGCGGATCTATGTGAAGAATCGTTGAATAGAATATTCGCATTGTTATATCATAAATATGTTGTATACGGGAGGGTCCACTTGTTGTTCTAGTATGCACGCGTAAACTATTTCGGAGAACAGTTTCCACAAACAACTTCGTCGGTAAAATAACAGCTGACTCAACGGAGGTTGAGTAGGACAGTTTTTCGTGAGTAAATTCGCATCTGCCAGACCAAATATCGTCTAATGGACTGGAGACTTTTATTTTTGAGCCACGTGGTTTTAAAGGGACTCATAAGACCATCAATCGAACAGAAAATTCCCGGAAAAGCTCTTTCCGATGACTCTGAGATTGTTAAAAACGACCACCTCATTTTATATAAGCTGTAATAAATGACAGACAATCTGACTGGCAGAGTCTTATCAAATTAACCATGAAGAAGGCACATTCACCGTGTTCAAAAAATGAAGTTCCCAGTTCATGAGATCAAAACTTATTCCACGAAAACTGCCCTAACGCAGAATGATGCGCCAATTCATGTCTAACACGAGAATTTAAATCTTGTAAACTTGGACGCATCTATCCATTTGTTATCGAATTTCGCATTAGCAAAGCCACTGGAAAATTGAACGTTTCAATATTCACAACTCTCGGTTAAGGGAACCATTTGAATAAGAATAGAAATTTATCTTTTGTGTGTAATGATCAAGCCGTAAGCCATCTGTTGATGCATATACTGAGCTTCGGCTCCTGGGAGTTTTCTTGTTGTTATGCTTTTGCAAACCGAACCCGGCGGAAGATCAATACTTCTTGTATGTCATAATACAGCTAACAGTAACTAGCTCAGCTCAGAGACTACCGATTACAGAATGAATACGACAGAAACAGGATCCTAGGATTGAATTATCCACATTTTCTGGTGACAGCATTGTGTACCTTAACTGCATTCGTCAGTTTTAAACTAAGATTCAGAGCACAGTATCCGATAATGTATTAGGGCTTCCATATGTATTACGTAATCGTGTCTTTCATGTGGTGCTGAACTCCGTCTCATTGACTGCAAATCAGTGGTTTGCAAGTCAGCTTAATGCGAACACTTTCTGATTTCTTCCAGTCTTGATCTGCTGGGTCTTGCAGTGGACAGTGCACCAACCACCACATCTTGTCCAATGTTTAAGAACTCCTTGTCGTTCAGAAAAAGCACTTCAAATGACTCACTGACGAAGCCAGTTGCCTTAATGAAACTTATCTTAAGATGGGGACACGTTTCTGCTGGAGTCACTATCTGGAAATGCATATCCCATTATTTCATTTTGTCTTGAAATTTTGTCGGTGGCACCCCAAAACACACTGCTGGACTGGAGTCTAGCTGATTCATAGTGACCCTCGACATTTTGTCCAGGTTTGTTATCAGAACTCTGTGCAGATACGTGTAGCAACTGGTGTTGTCGAACAATACTACTTGCGACGACAAATCCGGTGTTTGTCATGCAACAACCAGCTCAATACCTTCGTTTGAGGCACAGAAAACATAACCTGTTTCTCTGTTCCTCGGTCCGCTTGTTCATTTCAATTCATTCAATCATGAATCTTGCAACTCCGTGCTCTAGTTTCGGTTGCCACCTTGCAGAAACATACACTTGAAAGCAGAATGGACGGAAGCATAATATAAAGGGGGCCGGAAAGCAAATACCAAGTGGAAATATAGACGTGCGCTTACGTCGGCGAGTGGATGGCTTCGCCCAACTATCAGTGCACAGGAAAGCAACGTGGAATGGGCAGTATATGCACTTTGAAAGTTTTGTGCCACTCAAATTTAAGCACAACTTAATTCGTTGCTTGGTTAAAAGAGTGAACAAAATCTGTACTGAGGACACAACGGACAACGAACTTCGGTTTCTGCGCAATATGTTCCTGCAAAATAGATATCCTGATCGTTCCATTGACAGGACAAGGCAATAAGTGGAAGAAAGAGCGAAGACCGTTGTTGTCCCAAAATGTCAGTATACATCAGTTTCATGTAATGGAAAATCCACTTGGCGCGCGCCGGCCTCAGACTTTTCGATGTGAAAAATGCAAGTGGATTTCCCATTACATGAGATTCAGGCTCCTCGTGCCAACTATACCTTCTGTGAATACATCAGTTTGGAGCTCAAAGGTAATTACCCAATGGATAATAAACATCACAAATTATCAGGAACTGGTGGGAAAACATTTTACGCGAAAATGCTTCTATTTGTATTTACATCAAAGGATAAGGTATCAGGTTCTATGGCTTTATTCTGTGCATATTTTTTTACTTGGTCCTGTTAGACTGCGTACATTGGCCGTACCACCAGACGCTTATCCGGACGTGTCCGTGAACACCACCCGACTTGGTTGAACACTGGAGTAATCAAAGTGAATACGAGTGCTGTGTTTTTACACTTTGTTCAGTCTAGCCACTCAGTGAATGTGACCGAATAGTTCCGGCCAATATACAAATTTCGAAATGAGCAATTACGACTGGTGAAGTGCCGTATGCTAGCTACAGCGGAAGCTGTATGCATTCGTCCCTACAACCCGCTGTTTCACTCCCCAAAATAGTCCGTGCAAGTGCCATAGCTTCCTAGGCCCAACCCCTACCCCGAAACAAACCACAGATCTGCTGATCAGTCTAATGACACGGAAGATACTCATTCTCGCGGGTGAGATTTGATCTCCTCTCCTCCACTTAATTTTGACTCATCGCCTTATCTTGGTTACCGTTCTGTTCACTTAACATTGTTCATATAAAATGTGATGCAATGGCATGATTATGAATCACTGAAAAAGAGCTTGTTCGCCACCTTATGTAGTTCTCCATGTGCTCTGTGGAATTATTCGGACATTTAAATCACAAAGACAAATGAAGTGGTGAATGCGACCACGCCACTGGCCACGGCACCCAGCTACGTTACTTATTGTATCCAGTCCTCTGATTGGCGGGTCTCGTGGACCCCAACCAAGAAGTCACACACGTCCTAGTTGACCAAGTCTATTGACCGAGTTTTTCGTATCTTTTTGCCATGTCATGAACTGACCACCTCGACGTACCTATCATGCCTTATTCCATCGTGACGGTATTTCTAATTTGAGGAACTTGAGGCAAGAGGATAGAGCACACTCTTCGGTGCATACAGCACGTTGTTGTATCTTACGGTCTTTCCTGTTAGCTGGTAAAGTTCACATTGTAGTTCAGTGCAAACTGACGGCTAACTGCGGTATAGAGAGCCTAGTCAAGTCTGTTTGCTGTCCGACCTCGATTCATTAATTACCCAAAGCGACTTTGTGCAATCCATGTCAAGGCAGTGACAAGCTCCATCAGTTCAACGAAGTTTGCCTCTTCGTCATTCTGAATTATAAGATCGACTCTTTCGGCTTACTTACATTGCGATGAGCGTAATAACCGTTTCACTATTTGTTCGAGCGTGGTTAGCGCACCTGGATCGAGTATGTAGTCCATTTGCTCTAAGGTAGGGTTATATCCCTCGATTGTAACAGTTAGTGGAGATATCGTTTCCGAGTCGATATGGTCGACACCCGACCTCCCCATAAATCATTCTAAGAGAGGACGGAGCACTTCGTGCAAGCGATCAAATTTGTCCTTTAATACTTGGCAGGCTCTGCCACGACCAGTGGGGGAGGCAACAGGACTAATTTCTCAGTCGCCTTGAGCGCTTTCCACTTGAAATAAGGAAGTAGGTATAATAAGCATTGAATACCATCTTTGACCTTCAAAGATACGTAACTGTAGCTGATTAATGAACTTCCGATGCATGGTAGACAGTATATCAAACAAGAACATTTCAAACTGTGGGAGATCCAAACCGAAAATGAGAGCGAAAAAGGACCTAACAATTTTTGTCCCAACTACTGCTCTCCATTTTCTTCATGGTAAATGATACAAATAAACAAATTATTGTCAGCAACTGCGGTAGGATCCAATTTACCAAACTTATAAACCTGATCCTTACAATCTGATGATTCGACTGAACCCGGGGACACTTCATCGGCTAGATTATCAGAAGGCTTTTCAATCTCCAACTTTAGCTGTGCATCAATAATCTCTCTTCCTTTTCTTCGAATATTTTAATATTCCTTATCATATTGCCTATAGTATACACCCGATGAGACATGGCAAAATCTCCCCGGATACAAATTGTACAACGTAACTCAGTTGTGTTCTCTTCCCAACCGAGTACTCGTCAAAAGTGAATCCGGACAATTAAACATTCTGTACACATTATCTGGACAATAAAACAAGTTTATTAGCGTTACCGTAAGAAAGATTTGCTCGAATCGAAGAGAGCTAACACGAGAGAGCAAAAGAGTAAACAATCAAAGTTGGTTCAAAGTGAAGCAAAACTGAAGAATTTGGTAAAATAAACCAGCATAAATTTTCAGTATGAAAGTAGAAACAACTGAGTATGCGCATAAAATACGGTGAAGCGTGCATCACTCGCGATGTCGAAAAGTGTCACGAAATTTGCTGCTTCTCTGTAAATGATCTGGCAAGCAAATGTGATAAAAAATAACTTCAGGAAGTTAGACGTAGCCACTATCAGAGAAACGGCAGAGAAGATCGATCCTCCTGTGAGTCACTGAAGTGAGATAGAATATCATCAGACAAAACTTCCTCAGCCTAACCAGTCAATTCGCTCCTCTGGAGCACATAAAGCGGTTGAGCAAACCACCTCTGTGGTCAGGTCGAGCAACCAGGGAAAAGATGGAAAAGAAAACGATTGGTGCTGTTTTCGATTGGGAGAGGTTTG